TCCTGAGCAAGAGAATCAGTCATGTGGGAAGGGCCGGGCGCAGCAACAACTCTGACGACAGGGAGCATAATGCTACTGCGTGGTTATTACGATTCCTGATGTTGTTTGTCACCAGTCGCGGTGCCCCACTTTGCATTTTGTAGACAATGCTGCATTAGGTCAACTACTGCAGTTGTTGCTTCCTCCGTTTACCGCTCGTTGGCCACTTTCCAATTGACCATCTGACTTTTGTTCACCTTTTTGACATTCTTCCTTTTCAGTTCACCGAAATGGTGGAGCAGTTCATGTCGGGCAAAAGCAACTTAGCCGACCTGGAAGAATTATTCAACAACCAGTCCTACTCAGATTACTATGTTGTCTTCCTGAGGTAGGCGATTTTGTTGCTGCTTTTAGGGCAAATTCAAGTGTTAAATCAACATAGGTACTGTTTTGTCTTCCAGTTTGTTGATATTGTTTGGCCTTTCGTAATTCTGTGCCAGTTTATTCGCCTGAATTGACGCACTCGAGGTCAAATTCGATGTCAAAGGACAGCCGAAATCACTCAGATGTTCTTTTTGGTTCTAAAGAAATAAACAGTAAGATTAACAGTGCACGCTCGGTAAGTAAAGGCGAGGTAAAAATCAAAAAGAGGGTGCGCATACTTTCGAGATGCTTAGACGAGCAGTCGTGCGAATGACGCAAACGCCTGGTTGCCAGTTTATAAACCAATAAGGACAAGCGGCAGACAACAGAGAACAAGGGGAATCAACGAATGGGAAGGCAGCAAACGAGGTCAAGGGTCATGGGAGATGGGGTGTCGATGAATGACTAAGCGGGAATAAGGACGATTACTTCGGCCAAGTCGAGTTACTAACACGCGGTTAGTAGCGAATAAAAGTCGAATAGGACATTAACATGACAAATGTCACACAGGGGGGGAGCGCTCGTAACTATCTTTTAAAAGTTGCTGACAATTCAGAAGAAGGAGATGCGACCACTGGAACAAGAGTTTTATTGTCCTGACGTTTCGGATTCCGCCGGGTATCCTTAATCATAGGTAATGGTATCATAGTCATAGTCATGCGCAGATATCTCCGAATGACTATCACTTAGTATCTGTGTTGTCCCCAGTACGGAGATGATTACTGATGTTAACTAATTGACTTCAGCACTGTCGTATAGTATAGGTTGTGGTTCATTACAATTTTTCTCAGTGAAATTTGAGCAAAAAACAACTTTGCTGGGACAAGACTTTTATTCGTCTGATGTTTTGAAATCCATCATGGATTCATTATCCAAGACAGTAGCAGAAATGGGTAATTCATGCCCAGAGAGTTGTGCAGTATTTGTAGGACACAGTCGCTATGCTACTGCACACTGATGCCAATTAATGGCCCCTCTTATCGGGGATAATTGCCCGCTTGTGTGGTAATTGCTTGGTGGCCGGCGTGCGGGCCGTGACCTGTTGAACTTTCATCACACGTGGTGGACTTGGACGTGATGATTGCTCGGCCATCTGGCTCCCCAGCGCAGGAAGTAGACGACGCATGGGCTTATGCGTTCCCCAAGTGGCGACTTGCTTCGGCCAAATTGAGCCTCAGCACCGAATATGCATTGGGCAGGTTGTTGCACCTGGTTATAGACTGGTCACTGTCCATTATCTTGCCGATACCGAAGCGCGGTGAAATGCCAATATGTTCGAAGCACCGCGCAATCAGTCTCATTGATATAGCCGCCGAAGTGTTTGCGACCATCCTTCTCCATAGATTTTCGGGTGAGCGCAATCTTCGCACTCCTAACCAAGCAGGATTTCATCAGGATAGAGGATGTATTGACCAGATCTTCATTCTACACCGCATACTGGAACACAAACACCAAGGGACAGGCCAAAGATGAAATCAAGAACCAAATCGCGTTTGCTCGAAATGCAATTAGGCTGCTAGCTAGACCACTCTGATCTCGCTCAGACATCAGCTTACGTACTAAGCTGCTGATATACAAAGCAGCAATCAGACCAGTGTTAATATATGCTCGCAAAACATGACCAGCAAGAAAGGCAGACATCCTATCGCTCGAAGTCTTTGACCGTTAGTGTCCTCGACTCCTCTTAAGAGTCTTCTGACAGGATTGAATTTCCAATGTCGAGCTATATCGCAGATGTTTCAAACTACCAAGCCTAGCGTCATACATCCAGTATCGCCGATTGCAATAGTTTGGGCATGTCTTGCGCAAGCCATCGACGGAACTCTGCAGATTGGTCGTGAACCCCTCTCAAAGTGCAACCTGGAGATACCGACATGGTGGTCAACTGAAGACATGGCTCAGCTTTGTCAATTCAGACGTCGAACGGATGGGCCTCGTAACCGTTTACGGCTTGCGATAATGGAACAAACAATAGGTTAACATTTACGAGGAGCTCGCTTCCGATCGCTGCCGCTATCCGTGACATCCGTAAAGCCGATTCATCCAACATCAGGAGCTAATCAGATAGAGTAAAGTAAGTAAGTCCATGAACCATGACTCAAGCAACTCGCGGCTCACACGACTGTCATCTCTCGCGAAAATTTCGGCCTCATCAAATTTGACCGGATCTTGTCAAGTAAGCCGCAACCTGAGAATTGGCGTCATTTCTCCGCATTGCTGCTGCCGCGTGTTCGGCAATGTGCGTCGCCGAGTGACTGTATCCTATAAATACTGCTACTCCCTGCTCATCAATTATCCGTCTCTGCTATTCTCTCTGATGAAGGATCCACGAGGGATTTAGAAACGTAAGGCGCATAAAAGTATTGTCCCAGGGGTCAAATCTTCTCATTTATTAAGCTCTTTTAACTGCATTTATGATTGTCACCCCCCCTCTCTCTCTCTCTCTCTCTCTCTCTCTGTCTTCTCTTCCGTAGACTCCTCGTATCGGCCTACATCCAGCGGAATGCCGACTTTTACGCCAACTTTATTGCTGAGGACAAGACGGTTAGGCAGTTCTGTGAGACGGTGAGTTACAGCTTCATCGAGGATTTCTTTCTCGCTCTTACTGCCTTTCGAACTAGTCACTGATGCAGTACGGTCAATATTTTATGGAAAATGCTTATACTT